GATATATTTCCGATTTTTCCGACAGATTCTCTTCCAGTTTTATCGTTATCTCGAATCATTTAGATCCTCGTCGAAATTTTGATTTAGATTCCGTTCGATTTATCGACGCTCGAATAATCGTAGGCGTGATTTATACACCGTTTCCACCGTGTTTGACCGCGTTCTAATCTCGATGCGTACATTGTACTCGAAATATCTTCGACCATAACGAAATCAAAGTATTCGACTATTCACCGCTCGGTTATTCTTTGTACACAGAATCTATCTATCTATCTATCTATAGTCACGCGGAGCGTGAGCTTTTTACCTTAATTTTCGATGCGAATTCTCTTCGATCGTCCAAGTCACGAAATAATTCGTGAGATAAATTTGAGAAGAATAGATGGGGAAAAGATCGATTTCGGATAATCGGGATAAAAGTATTCGATGTAAAGAGTCGTTTGTTAAAGGGAACGTTTGATCCGATTTTTATATAAAGTGGCATTCGAGCGGGAAAGGTTAGAAATGCGAGACAGATGAGCAAAGAAAGAAGAATTGGTGAACGAGAAATAATACATCGACCCACTGACATTTATCCCTTGTTATTCATATTTATTTTTGTTATGTGCGTCGACCCACGGATATTATTTTTCATACGGTTGCTACGTCAGAGGTTTGACGTTGTAAGAAAAGAAGGAGAGAGAAAAAAAAAGAAAAGAAAAAAGGCGTAGACGTAGAAAATTTGGAGGGAAGTTTCAATCTGTTGTTGGAGCACATTTCTCGAGATTGTAAAAAATTTCCATATGTCGAAACAACAAATTCGAAATTGCCATTTACCAAACATGAGATTTGCATCGAACTTGGGGGAAGTGCATCGGTCAGATTCGCTACTTGATAAAACTTTTTAAATATTTATACAACGCTGGAATGCGCAAGTTGCATCAACTTGGTCGAACGTCTATCCAAGTAGCATTTTTCAATGGAAAAGTCTTAGGTTGAAAATATTCTCTCTCAACGGAGGATATCACAACTTGTATCAAAATTGTTTTTTGAAAACTACACGTATAATTAAATAATAAAGACACAATCGATTGTTCGATCCAAACACGAGTTAAAATTCAAGAATGATTGAAAACCTTGAATCCTGAAGGTATTTAAAATCTTCCTCTCAAAACTCAAATTTGGATCGCTATCCCTTTGATCGAAGGTCGGTCGAAATCTCGTTGTGAGAAAGAATCGTGAAATGGTGGCGACACCGTTGAACCGTAAGGCAAAAAAATGTCATGGGTGATTTCTCGATCGGGTAGAAAGAAGGTGGCGGAATCCTGGGATGCGCGCGACAAAAGGAGTGACGTGCATCCTGGTTCCGCCGTTGTTGCACTTTTTGTCGCATGCTGGATTTACCACCTGGCTCGGATGCAACCAGAGATCGCCACCGCTTGACCCACTTTTACGTATCTCTATACGGAAAATAGGGAGCACGTAGTCCGACTAGTTTCAGAAACCTCCTCCCCTCCCCCCATCATTCCCTCGAACAAAAATACTCTTCTTTTTCTGCTCTCTTTTCCATCTTCACGGATCGATTCTCATGTACGAGCGTTTTCGAGCCGGTAATATTCGATTCGACAGACTCCTCGACACTGTTTGCAACATGGACAAGTCGACGGTAACGATCGAAAGTAACGCTTCGAAATAAATTCGCATTTGCATTCAACGCCATCTTGCCATTCTCTTGTATCTACATTTTCTTTTTTTTTTTTTTTTAAGTGTCACGTAACAACTGTCGTGTTATACAGAGAGAAACATGAAAATAAGTACATTTGTCGTAACGGTTCGAGAAAGATTTTTTATCGTAATACTTTTATCGTACCGTACGAATAGTACTGTCGAGCAGACGGAAGAAACGTTGTATATTATATTGCGCGGTACGAAATATGCTTTCAATGGGATTAAACCAATTTAGAAATATGAATAGAATTGACGAAGGAGTTAAAGAGTCGATCGATGCTCGAGACGTGTTGTAAAATTGTTCGTATTTTCCTCGTATCGATGAGATACATTACGTGGAGAAGGAAAATCCGTACGATTATAATCGTACCGTTGCGTAATGAAGGGAGGGAGAACCCGTTCAACCTGAAATTCCTTCATCGATTCGAGCCATTTGCGTTCAAATTGTTTCTAAACGGCGAGTAAACAAAGCGGAAGAAATTCAATTGATCGCGGTTGCGCGTTCGCTCTAAATCGAAACTTAGAGATAATGCTACTAAATCGAGGGGGGAGGGGGGAGGGGGGGAGAGGTGACGGAAGAGGAAAAGGTTAATCGAAGAGAAAAAATGTTGGCGGAATGTCAAGAAGTAAAGCATGGTCCACGTGGCATTGTCTTATCGTTGGCTTCGATCGCACGTTTCGATTCATCCGCTGATCGCGAGTCAATTTGATCGGATATCCCGATTGCCGCTCGATTCATTTATGCGCTATTTTCAGCTATGGTTCGAGAAGAGAACCGGTCCGCAAACGTGCACGTTGCACGTTATTATCTATTAGTCGTAGTATCTTATCAAGGTTATCCTTCTCGTCCGCTGACAATCGCAAGGATCGATACGATCGTGCAAATTGTAACAATGTCTTGTAATTTCGTTCTCCATAATTGCACTCTACATTTCCGCGATTTGTGGCCAATGTTTCTTCTTTTCTTTTCTTTTTTTCTCTCTCTTTGTTCATCCCATTCGCTCATCGATTATCCTCGAAAGAATCTTTAGTGATTTTATTTCCAAGAGTTTTTTTTTTTTTTTTTTTTTTTTTATTTTGTTATTATATAGCCAAGAATGAAAAATCATTTGAACGAATATAGAGAAAAATATCATCGTTTGAGAATCTCGTTTTATTTGATCGTTCAATTCTTATTTTTATCGTTTCCTCATTTGTCGACTCCAACTTTTTTTCTCGTAGGTTTTTTCTTTTCTTTCTCTCTCTCTCTCTTTGTCTCTCCCTTTTCTATCATCTTTATTTCGAAAAGAAGTTTTCGAATTTCGAGATTATTTTTTGATCAAATCAAATATATACGGAGCAATGTATGTTCAAATCATTATAAATTGTCTCTCTTGTTCTTATTCGATTCGCAATTCTTAATAATATTTATGTAAGAGATAGAGTCATGTAAAAAGATATAGGTAGATTTATATTTTACATTTCTCGTTTATAAAGTATTTAAATTTCATTCACTAATCGAAAAAATAAATCGTAATACTTCAAATCTTCTAAACTTGCGATAGTTTTTTTTTTTTTTTTCAATTTTGTTGTTGTCCACTTTTATTAAAATCTTGTTCAATTTTCTAATTGTACGCTTCGCGTATTTCGATTTCGAAAATTTAATACGGTTACGATGCGGCTGTTTCACGAATCGCATTTGAATTGTCTCTGCAACGCGTTAAAATTCGTGTTTAATGATCGATATCGAAATCATTGGATCGAGTAATGAACCAATAACTTCTGTTTTTTTCGCGAACGAACGAACGCGTTAAACGATCGATCGATATTCAATAATCGGCATTGCCTCGTAGAATAAAATCCTCTATATCCTCGCTGTATCTTTCTTATCTTTTTACATTGTGGTTTTCGATTGTTTCTATGGGCGGTGTGATGTATAATGCAGATAGAGATGGCAACAAAGTTACAACCGTGGTGGCTACACCTGGTGCTGGTCCAGATCGTCCCCAAGAGATCTCCTATACAGACACTAAAGTAATCGGTAACGGCAGCTTCGGCGTTGTATATCTAGCGAAATTATGCGACACGGAAGAACTGGTCGCCATCAAGAAAGTTCTTCAAGATAAACGATTTAAGGTGAGGAAAAACCTTGGTAACGTAATGTATCGTCGTTTTATCTCGATAAATTGTTTGGAAAAACGATAATGCGCAACTTTTAATCTCTATTGACTCTCGTAACGAATCGTGAGCATAATACGATAACATATTACCGCGATGGAATCGTATGCATTAATCGAATTTTCTTTTCCTTTTATTTATAGAACAGAGAATTGCAAATCATGCGGCGCCTCGAGCATTGTAACATCGTGAAACTGAAATATTTCTTCTATTCTAGTGGTGATAAGGTAATTATTCGTTATTCCATTATTTCCTATTTTTCGTACACTCGATTGAAATTTTGAACGTATAAAATTATGATTTATGAAAATGTTCCTTTCTTTTTTTTTTTTTTTCTTTTACGTTACGCAAATTAGATATCTTTTACGTTACATAAATTATCTCGATTCTTTCTTTCTTTCTTTCTTTCTTTCTTTCTTTCTTTCTTCTCTTTTCTTTTCTCTCTTTTCTAATTTTTTTTTTTTCCAAGATTTTGATTAAGATATATATATATATATATCTTGCTATATAATAGCAGCGATACTTCTGATTTCTGTCGAATGATACAAAAGTTTCTAAATAAACGCCTAGTATTCGTTGTTTAATGCATGCGACGTTGTGTTATTTTGTAGAACATCTTAAACGCAACTAATCCAGTTTTTCATGTGGACGTAAGTGAACAAGCGAGTATCCAGTAGTTTTGACGGAGAGATCCTTTTCTCGAGAAAATTTAGGCAATCCCGCTTAAATATAGGCAGATTAAAGAGATGAGAAAAAAAAACCGATTAACGCGTTTCGTTATTCCAGTTATGCGTGAACAACGTAGAGAACGCTAAATCCGTTATTTATAGACGCGAGTCAAAGATCCTTGTTACTCAAGGTCACTTGCCCTGGTCACGAAATCATATTAGAAGTTCACTCCACTCCAAGAAATTTATCGTACTTTTTTTTTTTTTTTCTTTCTTCTTCTTCTTCTTCTTCTTCCTTCCTTTTACCTCCATAGTAGTGTGCAATGTGTATCGATAGCCTTGAATGATCATTATTTTTTTTTTTATTCAAGTTGTAGTAGCTAATGCAGCTTGGCTAGTTATAGAAAATAATCTTTTGGAATTGCGCGCGCGCGTGTGTGTGTGGTTGCGTGTGTGCGGCTCAAAGGTACTTGGCGCGTGAACAAAACTAGATTTAAACTAGACGTCAATTTAGAGCCGCGTGTGCCTTTGAGACGGGACACCTATCTGATCACGTACGTGTATCGATCTCTCTGTTAACATCTCTATTAACCGATATCTTCCGCGGATTTCTTTTAGAAGGACGAGGTTTATTTGAACCTAGTGCTGGAATACATACCTGAAACTGTGTATAAAGTTGCTCGGCATTATAACAAGAGCAAGCAGACCATACCGATTAATTTCATTAAGGTAAGTTCTTTCTTTCTATATTCTAACGGTCACACGCCTGTGTTACACGCCTTAATTAAAAATCGTTAAACTTTATATGTACATATAATATAAATATATCGAACGATTATTCACAATGATTCATACCCCCGACATTGGCTAGCATGGATTCCTCTACATCTATATCTTTTTCAGCTGTATATGTATCAATTATTCCGTTCTCTGGCGTATATCCACTCGCTGGGAATCTGCCACAGGGATATCAAACCGCAAAATCTTCTCCTCGACCCGGAATCTGGCGTTCTTAAGCTCTGTGATTTTGGTTCCGCCAAACATCTGGTCAAAGGGGAGCCCAACGTGTCTTACATCTGTAGTCGTTACTATCGCGCGCCCGAATTGATCTTTGGTGCTATTGATTATACTACAAAAATCGGTACGTTATTGTTATTCGATTAAATTTTCGCGACTATTCATAAACTATTGGGTGATTGTTGAAAAATTCGCTTTTTCAATTTTTTTTCTTTTTTTTTTTCGTCCACACTTTTTTACCCGAAATTCGTACGAAATTAACGGGCAGTTATCATGCATTTTACAGATGTTTGGAGCGCAGGTTGCGTAGTAGCAGAATTATTGCTCGGCCAGCCAATATTCCCAGGGGACAGTGGAGTGGATCAATTGGTCGAGATCATCAAGGTGCTCGGCACCCCGACACGTGATCAGATACGTGAGATGAACCCCAATTACACCGAGTTCAAATTCCCACAAATTAAGGCGCATCCATGGCAAAAGGTAGCCCATCACCTCCGTATAATTGTTCTAATAATATTGTAGCTAGAACACTGTACACCGTTGACACTGTTCTTCGTCTACCTAGTCTAATTTCGTAACTGCGTACATGTTCGGTGTTCATGACTAATGGGTGAAACGAGTGAGCCAAACGAGTGCGCTCTCGTTTCAATGATTTATCGGAGTAGGTGGTTCACTCGCTATAGAAATACTATTATTAGTGATTTATGAAATATTATTTTTTTACAACTAGAATAAAAAAATTAATGAATGAAATCGTTAACTATAATGAATAATCGAACATGAAACTACTTTGAGAAGAAAAGAAAAGAAAAGAAAAAAAATCGATTGCCTTTGTACAGGTGTAATAATGTTTCTTGTCGCTAAAAATGTTTGTACAAGCATAAAAGTGAGGAAAAAGAAAAAGAAAAAGAAAAAAAAAAAAAAGAAGGAAAGCAAAAGAACGTGTTCGAGGGTAAGGTTTCGTTCTTTCTAATTGGTTTTGCAACACGAATTGATTCTAATCACATTCATAGACACATGGTTACTCGTGGTTACAGTTTATGCTTCAACGAATGAGTGGACTAAAGTGTTCCACGGAGCACCAGAAGATTAGAGTAAGTGATCCCCTGTTGAAAACGCAATGTTTCTTTATATTATCACTTATTGCGCTAGCAAATATTCCTTTCTCTCTCTCTCTC